ATTAATGAATCCTTTCCTCATGAACATATGCATAAACTACTAGCATATCTACAGGTATATTTGTTATTAATGAATCCTTTCCTCATGAACATATGCATAAACTACTAGCATATCTACAGGTATAGTTGGCATTAATGAATCCTTTTCTCATGAACATATGCTTAAACTACCCCAATATTTATTTATTTTCTCCAATTTTGCCATCAAAACAAGGTAATACGGAGAGGGATGATTTTCTATAAAATATATACCCCTTGCATCCCTTGCATTATCCAGGAGGAGGTTGAATCTCTGATCCTACGGCTGGCAGGAACCTTCCCAGCTAGGAAGGATCAATTGCTCTTCCTGATCAACAACTACGACGTTATTATGTCGATCATCCTGGAGAGAACTAAGGAGGAAACCAAGGAATCAGACGCTTTCAGGTTTGACATATTCAAGTGTTCAAACGAACTAATTACTCGCCACAAAGTCTTAATTTTCCGATCACTTTATCTTTGCAACTTGACGGTGTAAACTTATATTTAAAACTTTGACTTAAGACTGTGCAGAACACGTAGTTTACAATGTCCAAGGGCTACGACATTAGGTTGCAAAGAATTTGTTTCGGTTACTTAGCTCGAACTTTTTCAAGTAGGTTAATTAAAAAAAGCTGGAAGTTATTTCATTTTTTTTCTGCTGCACTAATTTGAAAATATTTTTTTTAAGAAACAGAAAATCCATTACCAGAGATAAGGCCTCACTTTAGTCTTGATTTAGTAAAGTCACTTCCCGATTTGAGTGGGACAGGGGTTTATATTTTCTTGAAAAATCACTCTCCCACCCTCTTTGAAATCATTTTCCCCCCAGAGATTAATGTGCCGAGCTTTTTAGTGCTTTTTAGAAGGGAATACATTTTTTTTTTGGGGGGGGGGGAACAAGTATAAAAAAGGAGGAAGAAAACATGCCTTTTGATATCCAATTTTTTATTTATTCCCTTATTCATCAATTTCTTAAAATGTTTCTCAGAGAGCAGTTGAGGAGTAGGAGTGAAGAATTTGTTGAGCAGATTCTGCAGGCTCACTTTGGATACCTCATCCAGTGGATTAATGAGGCGGAGAGGAAACTGGAGAAAGGTTGGTCAACCGGTTTATATTTAATGATTAAAGGGACTGTAATCATAGTGACCCTCTCTGCAATGATGACAATGCCCGATTTACAACAGTAACCTTGAAACCTTGATCTCAGCAAAAATGTTACAGATACCGTCATTTTACTGACTCCCAAAGTGTTTAATTCAGATATTTTCTAAATTGCTGTTTTTGCAGAGAACACGCAACGCAAATAAGCAGTTAAAAAAAAACAAATATTGATATCTATTTTTATTACCTCTTTATGTTCACAGTTTTTAATGAAAAGTGCATTTATCGAAATTTTAAAACTTTCTCTTAAATGTCAGAATAATTTTCATCCAGTGGATTAATAAGAGAAAACTGGAGAAAAGTTGGTCAACCAGTTCTTTATTTTGGGATTAATATGTTTTCAGACTTTTTTATTACTATTAAATGTTAACAGTATTTCTGAAAATGTTAAAACCATTTCAAAATCATCGACAACAAAGTTTATTTTCTAAAAAAAGGATTAATTTTTTTTTATCTCATGGGTTGATTTTTTTAACTATACCGACATCTGCGCTATGGACCAACAGGCCCCCTGCAGATTATCCTAGTTGGTCTTCAAGGTTTGCATTAAAGGGTCGAGAATAAAACTAATTTTAAATTTTTTTCTAAAATTCTTTTTTTTAGGAGATATTGATGGCTTGAAGCAGGAGGAGAAGAAAGTTTCTCAAATAATTTCAACATTCGGAGCGGAGTGGAAGAAATCCTTGGATCGGATCAACGGAGAAACCCTGTCCTCCTTCCCCAACCTGAAACTAGGAACAGGGATTCTCCAGCAGACCTTGACAACACTTCTCCAGTATTACCACAGGTATTCTTTAGATAATACATTCTAGCGTAGTAATTAGGAATAGAAACTAAACTATTAAAGGGACTGTCAGCGTAGTTTTAAGTGACACCTCATGAAAAGATGGCAATGCCCAATTACTCACGGAAATCTTAAAAGCTATGACTGATAAAGTATTAATTAAATATAATTGTTTTTAAAATTTTAAACGGATTATTTTTAATCAGGGTTTATCTACAAATGTTACTTGCTCATTACTGTTGCAGAAAATTATAAAGAAATCAGAATTAAACAATTTTATAACTTGTAAAACTACAGTATCCTTCGCATTATTGTTCAGATAAAGATTTCAAGAGTACCGTTGTGAATGGTGCATTGCTTGAAAGGTTACTTCAAATCATCGTCCCTTTAAGATTATATTTTTGTCAAGGTTTACCCGGTTGATGAGTGTGGCTCCGCTGTCTCAAACCCCGGCAGCTTCAAACCTTATCAATATTCATCAGCTTATGGTTGAGGTTAAGAAGTATAAACCTAACTTCTAATTCAACCCCTGAAATACCCAATCAGGGTTTGTTTTGTCTTGTTATTATTATATGTTGTCTAAAATAGTCTACTATTCTGTGATGTAGCAAAGAACCCCCCCCCCCCTTTCCAATTATTAATTTATTATTTGGACTTACAGTTTCGATTAATTTTTTAAAATCTTCCCAAAATCGAATTATTTTTTTTGGATGTATCTCACAGATTGCAATCATCCCAATTCCATTCTTTGGTTCAATTGTTTTTTTCGTCACTCAGAGTTCTTAAACCAGATCTTTATCGACCGAACCTAAACATTTTCTGTGATATTTTTGCATTTTTACGATGTTTAATGTTTCCAGGTGTTATATTAAAGTTTTTTATGTTTATTTTAATGTTTTGAATTTCAGAGAAGATTGAAATGCAAATACAAGGAAACCCAGACATAACATTGGACGAAGATGAGAAGGTTTGCATATTTTGCATCTATGAATCATTCATAGATTAAACTAACAGTATAATACATTCTTAAATTGGAACATTATATTGATTACAAATTTGATAACAGTAGATACGCTGAGAAAGTGTTTTTTTTTTAAGAAAACCTTGAAATGTTCTTTCATGATTTTATTTCGATTTATCAAAAAATTGTTAACTCATTTGTTCAATTTACTTATTATAATACAGAATCATAAATTCTTACTTAAATTTTAAACATTTTTTATCAATTTGATAACAGTGAAAACGGTGAGAAAAGATTTTATTGAAATTTCAGAAATCCTTGAAATGTTTAAGCTAATAAAATGTTGTGTATGATTTCAGAATTAAAACAGAGAGATCTCCCGGCCGAGAAGCCGAACATTATGAAAATTCCGTCTGGAGTTGGGGACAGGAACGGAGCAGGGGCCAGGAACGGAGTATAGATCAGGAACGGAGTAGGGACCAGGAACGGAGTTGGAACCAGGAACGGAGTAGGGAACAGGAACGGAGAAGGGACCAGGAATGGAGAGGGGAACATAAACGAATCAGGGTAGAGAAACGAATTGTGGAGCAGGAACGGTTCCGTTACTCTGATAAGGGTCGAAAGTATGATAGGACGGAGAAGTATGACCCGGACATGTACTGGGATGAGGACACTCCTCATGTACATGCTGTCAGACATGGGGAGCTAGGAGAAAACAGAGAACATAGATTTGAAATAAAGAAAAGAAGCAGATCAAGATCAAAAGACAAGAATAGAAGAGGTTACAGTAGTATGACAAGAACGGATATCCGAAGTAGATCTAAAGACAGAAATATTTCAAGAACTGATGCAAAAAGTAGAATTATTGACAGTACTGAACCTAGAACAGAAATTGAAAAGAAAAGATCCAGAGACAAGAACACTAGAAGGTCAAGATCAAGAGACAAGATTAAAACAAGAAGCAGGTCTACGGACATTTCTAGAACTAGTACTAGAACAAGTATTTCAAGTGAACGGTCTATTTCAAAAACAGAAAAGGGTTCTTTTAAGAGTTTGACAGCTGAAATTGACAAGAGAAGTAGACAGGCGGAAGAAGAAAGATCTCCTAGATTCAAAACCGAACCAAAAATCAAAGAAGAAAAGATTACTGACAGATATACGGAGAAATTCATAGAACTGAACCCTAGAAGAGTATCTCCGCCGGGGGGTTCTCATGGGAGTGCGGAGAAGAGAAGATACATGGATGAAACCAGGACCCAGAGGAGACTTGGATCAGGTTCATATATGAGAAATAGTAGTTCAGAAGGATCGTCTCCGGTTAAAAAAGAAAAGAAGGATAAATCAGCGGAGAGAATGATAAAGAAAAGATTTGAACATATCAGTATTAAGAAGCAGAAAAGAAGTAGATCCAGAGAACATCATAAACCAAAGAAGAAGAAAAAGAAGAAACACAGAGATTCAGAAAAGATTAAAGTTAAAAGGTATTTTATTTTTAAATACATTTAGCAATTAATTTTATGATTTTTGATCAACAATTCTTTTCATGATTTATAACCGCGTAAAATTATTTCAATTAATTTTCTAAATCTTTGAAATTGATTGAATTAATTTAAAGGAAGAGTCAATTGCGAAATCTTGCAAATGAATTTTTTTTTTGGTAAACTCATTTTTATGAAATATGTATGAAGTTTTTTATTTTTTATTTTGAAAGACAATCTGAATGATATACCTTTTAAGAAATCCGCCAAACTATTTTTACTTAAAATTAGATGAGTAGAAAAACAATAGTGCGGGAATATACCAGGGGAGTACATTCTTACTTTCAGCCCAGGGAAGGAAATTCAAGGAAAAAGAGAGAAAAAAAAAGAAAAAAGGAAGGAATAAAAGGGGGGGGGGGAAATGATAAAAGGGGAAGAAAAAGAAAAAATTAAAGAAAAAGAAAATAGAGAAGCAAAGAGAAAAAGGGAGGAAAGGGAAGAAAAAATATATTAAAAGAAGAAGGAACGTTATAATATCACTATATTAAGTTATTAACTCGGAGTCTGGGGAAGAAAATTCTAAAGATATTTCCTTCCCTTTATCTCTGAATAGTGAAATTATTACTTTCCCCAGTTTATTAAAGGAAAAAATCATGATTTTCCTAAAAATATTAAAAAGTTTCCCCCATTGCCTATGGTGAAGAGGAATGAGATATGTTAGAAAAGTTTCGTATATTTTCTTTATACTGAGAACTGAGTCTCATTTCCCAATTGTATTTTATGTTCTAATGGAAGAGTATAATGATTATTGGGACTATCGATTACAATTAAAGACATAAATCTTCGGGGTTTCGAGATCAATAATTGTGCATTTCTCACCTAATTTTCAATTAGGTCCTCACGCCAAATGCCGGACGCAGGCTCAGTCGTCATACCCATTTCTCACGCGTGTTTCTGTAAATATCCACAGTTCATTTATACTCTAGGAACAGGGAAAGCACGTCTTGTGGTGGAAACTATCACAATATTAATCAGTTCCAAATAATTTAAAAGTTTTAAAGCAATACCATCAACTAATCATTATTTTACAATCAATCAATCACACGAATATATTAAATGAGTGCTTATATTTGGTGCATCGACTGAGTGGGTGGATCACCGTCCACGTAGGTATATTTCTTGACGAGAATGTTTATTTAACCAGATCCTGTGTTCAGAGAACGGATCAAGAATCTCTTGAAACAAATGAATCTTGCTCCCAGACTCAACATCTCGACTCCGAATCTCAGCACTCTGATATCTCATTTTCCAGTATACGATCATACTCTATATATTACATCATGCTTTAAGTATTACAAGAGAATTAAAAGAATCTTTAAGATCCTTTATTGTAGCGTAGGCATTACCTGACTGGACTTATAGACAACATAATGTCAAAGAAGACTTTTTCAAAAAAAAATTTTGATTATCATTATTTTTATCTGCTAGTTTTGGCTCACACAGGAAATTATGCAAAACCTTTTGAGGAAAAGTATCATACTTTTTTCCTTAACATCAATATCATGTGTTGCCCCCATTAAAAAAGCTTTAAGAATCTAAAAAAAAATCTTGAAGGGGATTTGGTTTTTGACCTTTTATGGGCACCAAAACACTCCAGTATACAACCAAAATACAAAAATTTTCTCCACAAGGGGGTCTCGGCCCCCCTGCAACCCCTCCGCACCAGAAAACTTCTTATGGTTGTGACTTCAGGGAAACAAACCATCCCTGGCTCGGGGTAAAAAATGTTGCAAAAATGACTAAATGGCAATAATAGCTAATTTGTTATAAAAAGCATAAAAAAACGTTACCCACCGGGGAAGGAAATTCAGGAAATAATTATGGGGGGGGGGCAACTCAACTTCTAGTAAGAAGATGAAAAAACTCGCCTACAGAGATGCCCTATTTTTATTTTTATTTCCCAGTCACTTAAAAATTATTCTTGATAATATTCTTAAAATTACTCTTAAAATAATTCTTGAAATTATTCTTAAAATTATTCTTGATATATTTTTAAATAGTTCTTGAAATTATTCACCTTAAATAACTCTCCTACTACTTTGTATTGGTTTCCACTGCATTTCAATATTCTAGTGAATTGAGTGATATCAGCAGTGACTCTGACGCCAATTTATCTGATCTACTGGATAACCTGGAACCTGACACTCATACTACAGCAGTTATATCTGATCTCCTTGCTAAATTAGAGAGTGGTGAACCTTCAGATGCAGATGTATCCGATCTTTTTTCTAAAATCAAGAAACAAGAGAGATCTATCCATGAGGAGGAAGCAAGAAAGCGTTTAAAGATTAAAGAAGAACCAGTTTTTAAAAAGTAAGTATTAATAGATGATAATGATGAAGAAATCTTTTAAGGTCATCTACGAAAGTAGAACATATTTATTTGAAATTAAAACAATAATAGCTCAAGGTTATAATGCAAGAAAAGTTAATTCAGAGGTGTACGCATCTTTGTACTGCAGTGCACTGTCTCTGGGCGGTAATGTAAACATAAGACGAATGTCGAAGCCTAACATGGGATCCATCTTTCACATAAAAATCAATGAAAATATTCTGGTCAAAGGAAACTATTATGTGAATTATCAAAATTGTCAAAATTTAATGCTTTTAACCTCCTCGGATTCTACACAAACACTGATGCATCTATTCTTGTTCACAAATTCCGTCCAGAGAGAACTAGTTTTAATACGTACTCAGAGTATACGCAACTGCAATTAACGTTCCTTGCATTTTAACTTTGTACTAGCTAAAGTGCCCGGCGTTGCTCGTGGAATTTTTAAAGCACTTTTAAAAAATGTATTTTAAAGAATTTATCAAATTTTTTGAAGTTTTTGAAATCTTTTTGCTGAGCGCAAAAAATTGTTTGCGGAGGTTTTTTTCGCTAAATTGGGAAAACTATTGATTTTCTTTTGGAGAAAAATTCAAAAACTTTCAAATAAAAAATTAGACATCAAAATACATCTGCCAAATTATTAAAAATTTATTACTCCCCTGGGGTAGGGGGGGGAGGGTATAAATTTATTTTTAATTAATTATTAATATTCGCCCCTGGTAATTGACTTTTAACAACATCCTTTGAGTATCAATAAACTTAGTTAATTATATAAAATATAGTGAATTAATTAATAAATTATAGTGAATTTTTAAACTGAATATTATTCTAGGAAGAGTTTAATAGAGAATGACCCTAGAGAAGCTGCAACACAGCAACCTAAACCCATAACATCTACACCGGAAGTATCTCAGAATACAAATATATTAACTTCTCAAACCTCCATTTTGTTAAGCAAGTACGAACCGGAACCGACTTCTCGTCCGATCAAGACGGAGAAAATTATGACGGCCTCGGATGCAGTCGTGAACAGGATCCTGCAGAGACACAAAAAGCCGAGGATCGAACTCATCGAAGTTTCTGCGGACGAAGGAGAAGACTCCATTCGTATTCTCTCCGAAAGTCATGAAAAATCTTCGAATTCTTTCAAGTGTGTCCTCCCGTCCTCAAGTTCAACTCCTAGCCAGTCCTTGCCTCCAAGCTGTCCTCCGGACCCCCCTGTAGTGGGGACTATCGAGAACCCCGTTATTGTTGAATCCCCTGTCTCGTGTTTAGTTTTTATCAAACTGCTGCCGGTCAGCGTGACCGAGGTTGATGTTTGGCGGGAAATATCCCAGAAATGTCCGAATGCTAAACCTATCAGTGTGATGGTAAAGAGTGCTGGAAAAACTAATACCGCTTGCCTCTTCTTCAGCACTCAGGAGATTACGGTGGAGTTTAGAAGAACTTTTATTCAGAAATATGAGAATAAGTTTCTGAGTGATGTCGAAAATATTATCCATGAGGAGTTAAACACCAACTCTGCACCTGCAGAAACCATCCTTGATATTGAATCTAGTGTTCAGAGAACGGATCAAGAATCTCTTGAAACAAATGAATCTTGCTCCCAGACTCAACATCTCGACTCCGAATCTCAGCACTCTGATATCTCACAAACTGAAGAATCTTTCGTTTACAATGATCAGATCGTGGAGGATTTAAGCACTCAGAATGTTGTAGAAGGTAAATAATTTTAAAATTAAGACCACGCTAATATTTTATCATATTCAAGATTACTTTTTTATAGATTCTCTGCCGATCCGTCCTGTCCTGGTCCATATAGAGTACGGAGAGGAGAAGAGGATTAAAACCTTGAAGGTTCTGGTTTACTCAGAGAAACGTTGTTTTAAGTAAGTTGACAAATTTACAATCTTATAAATTAAATATAACTTCTGCGAAAATTTATTTTTATTATTTTTAAATTATAAACAGTGATCACCTGATGCATAAAGAAGGTGTGACCTTTTTTGATATTTTGAAAATAAGATTATGAACTTTATTAAAATTTTCTCCGAGGTTATTTATAATTTTCTAGATTCTCTGGACAACCTGACGATATAATCGTTGGAGGGTTTCTACGCTACGTCATGAGATACTACCCTGATCTGAGCTCCCTTGAACCCGTACTTGTTACTCCAACCTTGTCCGACTTCAACCTGCTTCAGGAGGTTCTCAAGACCTGCACCAGAGAGGACAGAACCCTCTTCGATGAGTACTTCAAGACCTGGATAGATTTACAAACTTTATATTTCCGGATGAAGTCAGAAAACTGGATTAAAGCCGGAACATCCTCAGACAAGTTTCTTCGAGAGATTTCCTCGGCTTTGGATATTCCGATCACTGATTATTTGAACAGTACACTGGACCTGTTTGAACGCACTGTCTCTCATGTAATGAATGAGATCGATGGGAAATCTGTCAAGGATATTAAAGACCCGGAGAAGTTCAGATCCGTCCTAGAGCGATCTAAACTAGTTGATGATGATTACAATGTGGTGGTTGTTCATGCTCAAGTTGTTGATCTTGTTTTCTCGGAAAATAATTTTACTTTTCCAACCCTAGCATCCTTATCATGCAGGGACGAGAACAAGTCATGGTTTGCTCCGATTGATTTTAGAAAATTTGAAGGTTCTTTGAATCCTCTCAAATTGAAGGAAATGGGATTTCATCTCCGTCCTGATCCTACCGGAGGCTTCGACATGTTTTGGTCAGACGAACCCTGTCTTAGTGAGAAAACTGCACTTCAATCCTTTCTCCAAATTCTTAAAGATTCGTCTTCTCGAAATATTCTGGTCTTTCCACGTTCAGATTCGTCTCTAGGAACCCTCCTTCTTGCTCTCTCCAGGTGCTCACTACTACAGGAGTTCAGAAGTACTGTGATTGGGATTGGAACTCTAGAATTCCTTCCGGATATTTCAACTTTAGATCTTCCAGCCCCGGGGTTGGAAGGATTCGACGAATATTATGAAAACGTTATGCTCCAAGCTTCCTCATCCTCCTTAAACCTGAAATCTAAACTGAACCCGTCCAATGCAGCAGGAAGGTTGTATGATATATTTAAATATATCTTAAGATCTCCACCATCCTTCCAGAACTTTGTAAAAGATTACGCAGTGCCTCTTCATTCCTCACTGGTTGACCTTGCTCTTGTAGAGTCTGGACTACTGGAGCTCCGGTTAGAATATCATGAAGTGTTAATCAACACGGAGCTAGATCTAGAACCCGGAGCTATTGAAGAGGTTGGAATAATTATCAAGGATTATCTTCCCTCTATAGATAAAGCTTACAATATTCTCTGCTATGGAATCCTTAAGATAGAAGAGAGAAGGGTTCTAGTTAATAAAGACAATATGGGAACCGTGTGCCTTACTAATATTCATTCTAAACCTGTTCAGTTAGGCCCTGGAACTAGGATTGGTTTAGCAACTAAACTTCCAGATTTTCCACTCCGATCTCAACCATCTTCTTCCTCTTCTCTGCAAACCAATAAAAACTTGCTCCGAAAACCCCGGGGTTTGATTGAATCTGATTATCGATCTTACTCTCTATCTCCTGAATGTAATATTGATTATTTATCTGTTTTACCAAGTCCTAGTTCTCCCTCCCCTGTTCATAAACCAACTCCACAGCGAACTCTTCCAACTGCTATTCAGACTAAACCCTTCTCTCCTGCTACCATCCTTCCATCAAAACCTAGAAAACTGCCGGGATCTTTTAAAGATATCGGAGAGAGAAACAAGGATATGTTCCTAGCTCATTCTAATATCAATTCCGTTACACCTTCTTCAGTTACAGGATTCACGCCCTTATCTAGATCTCTCATCTCCTCCCCATACCCGCAGTCACCACTGAGGAAAGATATTTTTATTCCAGACAAAATTCAACCCTTAAAACCAAAGAGTATCCAAACTTCAATATTAGATTCTCTACCTATTCTCTCCGGACTTGCATCTCAAGAGCAACCCAATCCAAGTCCGGTAACCGGGATAACTCCTCTCAACCTTGGATTGGAAACCTCCGGGATTAGATCAGCTTTAAAAATATCCTCCGGCAAGAAAACTACAAAATTTAGGGACTTTATAGAGAGAAGGAAAAATGAGAAAATTACAGAACTTTCTAAATCCCCATCCTTATCCTTGGAAAAGGATGAATCTTCGGCGATAGAATCCGACCCTGATCATCCTCAATCTTTGTTTTTGGTAGAAAATGTATCTTCTAATAAAGAATCTGAAATGACGTTTAACCCCGGTCATTCTCATTCTTTGTCTTTGGAAGATAACGAATCTTCGAAAAACGAATCCGAGATTGTCTACAGTACTGCTGCTGGAGATGATGTTATTAATGTTGAAAACATACTTAATGAACACTGTTCTGACCACAACGATATTGTAAATGATGAGGATGAGGTTCAAGTTAAGGAAGAACTTGAAGATGTTAAATTTATCCATGAAGAAATCAGATTCAGACCTGATTCAAGGCTTTCAGGTACAGATGGTACCTTGAGCAAGGTTGATAATCTTGCGTCACTCCCAATAGAGGTTCAAGGTAACGGTAGAAGTATCCAAGTTGATGTTTCTGATCTCAATGAGTTTCTCGAGTTTAAGAAACTCAAGGAACAAATGTCCAAGGAAGAGGCTATTAGACTCTGCTCTATAGAAAAAACTTCTGTTTTTAATCAAACTGTGAAACCTGTTTTATCTCATGAACCAGAGAACCCTTCGTTTTCTGCGGAACCAGAGTGCCCTTCGTTTTCTCCGGAACCAGAGAACCCTTTGTTATCTCCGGAAGCAGAGAACCCTCCGTTTTCCCCGGAACCAGAGAACCCTCCGTTTTCCCCGGAACCAGAGAACCCTTTGTTATCTCCTGAACTAGAGAACCCTTCGTTTTCTCTGGAACCAGAGAACCCTTTTTTATCTCCAGAACCAGGGAAACTTTTGTTTTCTCCGGAGCACCAGAAACTTATGATTTCTCCGGAACCAGAGAAAACTTCTAAATATCAGGAACCAGTGAAATCTTCTAAATATCAGGAACCAGTGAAATCTTCTAATTATCAGGAACCAGAGAAATCTTTTAGATCTCAGGAGCCAGAAAAAACTTCGATATCTTCGGAACCAAAGAATTCGTCCACATCTCAGGACTCGCTGTTTCCTGTGGTAACTTCGGAACCAGAGAAACCTTCCAAATCTCCAGAACCTATGATATCGCAACCAGAGCAAGATTCAGAACCTGAAACGAGCTCGACCGAAAGAGAGCACGGATCTATAGAACTTGTTGTAGACTCGGACGAACAAGATACTTCTTTTGACAATGAAGATGACCATGATAATGATCATATCAGGGATAATATCAGAGCAGATGAGAGGTTTGATCACCAAGATTCCTCTGAAAGTGAATATGAATCTCTGGAGAAAATTGAAGAAGAAATAAGTGAACCCAAGTTCAATCAATGCCAAGTGATGTCTGATGAATCTCCCTGTGATAATGAAGTATTGCTCACTCCTGCTGCAGGTACAGATGAGATGAAGGATACTCCTTATGATGATGATATTGACGAGGAGAAGGAGATTGACGGATATGATGCTGAGGAGCTAATTAAACTTGGATACAATATTCAAATCCCTCAACCTGAGGACAGTGATTCAGATTCAGATACTTCTATTTCAGAAAATTCTATCCCAGCTTTAATCATACAACCACCCTCTGCTAAACAAAGGTCTTCGCTTTTCAAAAAACGACCTCTACCTCTTAAACAACGATCATCCATTCAACAGCGGCCAGTCCTTCCTATGCAGAAAGGAACGAGGAGTCAAAAATTTTCTTCAAAACCGAATTCAACTGAGAAAAACATTTTGGATGAACCGAAATCCACTCGAAAACCTTCCAATTCAAATATTTCCCGAGGTTTAAAATCAATGAACTGTAGGAGAAGGAAGAAAGCTTTTGCATTCAATCCTGAACATAATTTGAATTTGAATTGTTATGTTAAATTAACAAAAGCCAATGCTGAGGCGGAGCTAAGAGCATTGTCGAAGAGAAGAAAGGGTCCGATTAAAGAGATGTTTATTCTTTCCAAGGAAAATTTTCTCCAACCTTTGAGCGACTCATCTGCCTCATCATCCCCTGTACCTGGAGCACCTGAAACCATATCATTGCAACCTCAACCTTCTTCTCCGGAAGTTTTTCCTAGGGATCAACTTCCAGAGATCAGACCATTAGATCCTGAACCCTATCTCGGGATAGATCCTAGTCGATCCCTCGTCGCCCAGCTTCGACGCCGTCGTAGGCTTCCTGTGACGAACCTGGACGATTTAACACTAGAAGACGAGTTTGTCGCAATCAGTTGTCATCCACAGTTCGAAGAGCTTGTTAAAAGTTTCATCATCCTGGAGCAGAGAAGACTGGAGGATATCTCCGAGAATAAGAAGAACTGTATTAATCATCTACTGATGGAGCTGAACACCGAGGGGATTGTATCTCTGGGTAGGTTGGGAGTTTCAGTAAGTCAGATAGGTAGGAGAATCCCTGGTGGAAACCTGACAGAGTGGAGAGAAGAGCTGGAGGAATATATTGTAGGACTTGCTGATGCTCCGGACTTAGAGTTAGACTTTGATATTAATCTTGCTGTCATCGTTATAGTTTTTCATTTTCTACCTAGGCTACCTCCTAGCTGATGTTTCGGCTGGCCGAAAAATATTTGGTTATTTAATCAATAACTAGATTCAAAATTTGTAAATTTACTCCAGTGTAACATTAAATCAAATGTTTAGTATAAAAGAAATTAGAAAATTTTTAAATTCTGAATTGCATACTTTTTTGGTAAACTGTAAACTCAGCCTTCCGACCCTTTTCTACTAAAGTTTGGTTTCAGATAAAATGGTCGAGCAAAAAAAACTTTTTTCAATGATAGATGCAGGGGGTAACTTAAAGGTAAACAATTAATTGATCCTCTTGGCGTTTTAGTCATTTGATGATGAAATATCTATTATGGTGCTATGGAAACGCCTCAACACGGAAACGTCTTAACGCGGAAATGCCTCAAAAACCGGTTTTGAGGAATTTCCGTTTTTTTTTAATGCTCTCATCTCGCAGAGTATGAATGAATGTGATTTATCGGCGTATCTATTTATTGATCTGAGTACATTTTATTCTTGTTGGATCAGTTTCCTATGTGTTTGTAGAGGCCCACACTTCTGCTTGTTGCAGTACGTTAGCTCTCAGTCCGCTCTTCTAGCTCTTCTAAGGTTTCCGCCAATCCAGCCTCTGCTTTCCAGAAATCCAGCGGAAGCATGACAAACCATAGAAGGTCATGACTTCGGAGCTGTTCCTCCATTGTTGCAATCCTCTGTCTAGTCTTGATATACATCCGATATGCAATCTTCAAATCCTCTTTCAGGGAACTTTTCGATTAACTGTTCCAGTTCCGTGTCAGTCTGAGCAGCTCCCTGGGATCCGGATTCGTCATTTAGCTGCTCCAATTTCGTATCTATCTAAGCAGCTTCTCAAACTCGATATCTCGCTTAGCTGCTCCATTTTATTATCTATCTAGGCAGCTTCCTCAACTCGAGATCTCGTTTAGATTCTCTTGTTCAGTATCTCTTACACTCCAATCTGATGTGAGATGTATATTACCGCTCAGAGCCGGAGATTGGGTTGAAGGGTTTTCCAGTATACGATCATACTCTATATATTACATCATGCTTTAAGTATTACAAGAGAATTAAAAGAATCTTTAAGAACCTTTATTGTAGCGTAGGCATTACCTGACTGGACTTATAGACAACATAATGTCATAGAATACTTTTTCAAAAATTATTTTTGATTATCATTATTTTTATCTGCTAGTTTTGGCTCACACAGGAAATTATGCAAAACCTTTTGAGGAAAAGTATCGTATTTTTTCCTTAACATCAATATCAAAAGCTTTAAGAATCTAAAAAAATCTTGAAGGGGATTTGGTTTTTGACCTTTTTTGGGCACCAAAACACTCCAGTATACAACAAAAATACAAAAATTTTCTCCGGAAGGGGGGCTCGGCCCCCCAGCAACCCCTTCGCACCAGAAAACTTCTTTTGATTGTGACTTCGGGGAAACAAACCATTCCTGGCCCGGGGTAAAAATGTTGCAAAAATGACTAAATGGCAATAATAGCTAATTTGTTATAAAAAGCATAAAAAAACGTTACCCACTGGGAAAGGAAATTCAGGACAATAATTATGGG